AAATCATGATACAAAAGTACATATATGTACTAGCTAATATTATTATCTCACAGCTAGATAAGTGAGGTAAGCTCGTGGCTCGCGAGTAAAAATTATTTTTAAAAAATGTAAAAAGAAATTGGTTTGCTCGAATTCTTACATTTGTATAGGTGAATTTATCGCATTTAACTAACATGATTCTTTTAATTCTATTTTACTGGTAATTTTCTTTGCTGTAAATTTTTTTTTTATTAGTCCACATCGATCAATTTACATATTATTTTATTTTTTTACCTTTTTAATCGTTGAAAATATTCGTGATACATCTGTATTCAATTCTGAGATCTTTGCATTACGATTCGTGCACGTTGTTTGTCAAGCCAAGCTCGAATTGATATTATTCGGTAAATTTGTTATATAAAAATTTCTTTTATCAACAAAGTAATTTGATTTCAATGAATAACATATATAATAATGATATAACGCTTTTTCAGACGCGTGACGCAACTTGATTACACCGCTCTTTGCTTTTCATCTAATAATCAACTGTTGCAAACATTTTATAATCGTGCGCAAAATGTTTTCTGAAAATAATCTCGGCAAAGATTATTCCAGCATATTTAAACACAAACTACGATTGCGTGTTTGTAACAACGAAAGAGATTTTAATGAAAGTTTACGAGGTTTTGCTGAATTTTATATCTACAATTATATCAACAATAGACGTACCATGATGCCTTATTCACTTGTGAATATCAGTAGAATTAAAAAATTCCAAGATTTATGTAAAGAAGACATTGTAGGCAGACATTTTCCAATCACTGACATCATAAAAATTATTTATATCGTTACTGACATACTTCATGTAATTGCAGATAGTGTGAATGTCATTATAAATTTCAAAAAATACAGTCTGCCGATTTTTATTATTTTGGGTCTTGTAGGAAACTGTTTGTCTGCGATTGTGCTCTTCCGTAAACAGATGCGTTCTTTTTCGTCCAACATCTACTTGGGCGTGCTAGCAATAAGCGACATCATCTATTCGATGACATTACTCATTAAATGGCTATATATGATGGATATTAATCTAGGAATAAACAATTTGTATTTGTTATATTTCTTTGTGGACTGTCTGAACTTTTTTTCCCAATTCTTGAGTATGTGGCTTATAGTAGCCTTTAACATCGAGCGATATATTGTAACGAAGTACCCACTTTTGCGTCGATCTTGGTGTACTGTCAAACGAGCAAAAATCGTAGTAATCACACTGATTAGACTAGGAGTTTTGCTTAACATTCTACATATGTTTGTTTTTTTTTTGGACCATGCAAATTATAATATTTGGATAAAAAAGAATAAATATCTACGATATATACAAATATCTAAAATTGAGAAATTATACAGGAGTTAGAATGACAAGGATAATTATAAATTCTATTACTCTATTTACTCTACCTGCTCTCGTGATAGTAATCTGCAATATTCTGATAGGATATCACATTTACCAGCAAAATTGTGTTCGCAACACTTTGATTGCAGCGTCCAACTTTAATGAGAGAACTCAGATTTCTAGTGATAAAATGCTTCAATATAAAATCACAAGAACGCTTATACTCGTTTCGAGCATATTTGTAATCTTGAAATTACCTGCACATTACTTTTTCTGCATTTCTAGTTACGTACGTATCAATAATTCATATTAAAATAATACCAACCATAATATATAGTTTATTTATTTTAAAATTGCATTTTGTATATAACAAAAAGTATTAATTAATTTTTTTCTTAAAATTTGAATTTTTTTAAATAATTTATACTTTTTTATTTTTACATTATAAATAAAATTATTTAATATTTTTTTTATATTAAAAATTTGCGTAAAAAAGTGGATGCATTCAAATACGTTATATATACGTTATTATTAATGGTTATATAAAACAAAAATAACATTATAATAATTTTTTTAGATACCTAAACTTGTCAATGTGGTTGTTATGATCGCAATATTCGACTTATTAGACACAGCACATTGCAGTATTAATTTTGTTCTCTACTGCGCAACGGGACAAACTTTTCGCAGAGAACTAATCCACATGTTTACAAATCGTACAAATATAAGGAAAAACAGAAATCATGGAGATGTATAATTATAAGTAACAGTATGTTTGATGTCAAATTATGCAGCCTTAATAAGGTAATACCATAATTAAACACGGTGTTTTATACTGAAAATAAAATCAATAAATTTACAAAATTAGATGAAAAATTACTTGATAAATAACAGAAATTTATTAAATATATATTGTAAATTTACATAATTTCATAAATTATATACTATTCACTTATTACAAATCCTGTTTCCATTATTTATCATGTAATTCTTACATCTTCGTTGTGTAAATTTACCGAATTTTTTGACTGTGTTTATATTTATATTACATTGATCAAAAATTCGTTCACTATCTTTGTTACTATCTTTGTTATATAATTTTTATAATTAAATGTATAAAATAAACCAATTTATTCCCAATTTGATAATACTATGCATTTTCTTACAGCTTGCAAATTTTCGTCCAATCGCACTTTAACCAAAAAAACAATGTGTTTGTAAGCAACACACAATTGAAAGTTTCTCAAGAGGTGCTAACTCTGCTGATATACACGAAATATTATAATATACATTATAATTTTATTAAAATATAATTAACTGCAAATAATTATATAAAATAGCTGAACATATTAGTTCATTAAAAGTATTAAATGTACCTAAATAAAATACAGTAATAGAAAAATTCTATAAAACACACATATGTAGATATTATATACATTATTTTATTTTCGCATTTAAAGGAAAAGACAGTTTTATCAATTCTTTTAATTAATGTGAGCTTTACTTAAAAGATGAGCTATAACTTAGAAAAAATGTTGATTTACTATTAAATAGGTGAATTGTCACATCGTAAATTGTAATGCCAATTCATTTTGTCATCATCAATGTTGCGTAAATGACACGTTTATTCATTACAAAAATATTTTTCAAAGAAGAAAAAGAATATTCTAAAAATGTGTTATGTTTTATTTACATGTTATCATATCACAAATCTATACCAGTCAATGTATTAATATACAGGTACATGTCTCATCATATTACTTACTACACACATGTTCATATTATTTTATTTTATATAATAAACGCTTTTTAACATGTTTTGTAATTTTAAAAATACAAATAATATTAAGATATTGCTCTTTTTTATTAAACAATAATCGTGAAAACAACGAACTAATAAAGCAGGAGCTGGTTAGAATTGCTAAAAAGTTCATTTTATTAAAAAATTATAACAACAAATGTTTCGGCCTAAAGGATGTGGCAATCTTCAGGGTAAAAAATTTGACATAAATAATGTAGTCGTAAGTAGACAAAACGCTGATAAGCTAATTAAGCTAGAAATGCTCTCGAGCAATGATTGTGATTCTGGTAAAATATCCTGTTAATGTGAAACGACGTAAGGGTCAGGAGCGTCTTCAAATCCTAAAATTAAAAAATTTTATGTGTATAAATATCTCTGATAATACGGTTCATACATTTTGTTGTTAGTCTTGTTATGATATAAATGATTTTTATAATTAAATATATAAAAGCAAAAATAAATCGATTTATTCTCAATTTGATAATACTTTGTTTTTTCTTACAGCTTACAAATTTATGTGTAATAGCACTTCAAATAAAAAAGCAATATGTTTGTAAGCAACACACAATTGAAAGTTTCTCAAGAGGTGTTAACTCTGCTGATATACACGGAATATTATAATATACATTATAATTTATTAAAATATAATTAGTTACAAATAGTTACATAAAATAGCTAAAGATATTATTGAATTAAAAATATTAAATGTAAATAAAAAACAGCAATAGAAAAATTCTATGAAACACACATATGTAGGTATTATATGCGTTATTTTATCACATCTAAAGGAAAGGACAGTTTTATCAATTCTCTTAATGATTGTGAACCATAACTTAGAAGATGAGCTATAACTTAAATCGTAATGCAAAGTCAATTTGTTATCATCAAAATTTCGTAAATATCATCTCATTACAATAATATTTTTGAAAGAAGGAAAAAAGGTTTTAAAAATGTATAATGTTTTATTTACATGTTATCATATCACAAATCTATACCGGCCAATGTACTGATATACAAGCACACGTCTCATCATATTACTTACTACAAATGTACATGTTTTATTCCATGTAATAAACGCTTTTTAA